TTTTTTTTAATTTCCACGCTATGTTGTTAAATTTATTTTTATTCACAAAATGATTATTTTCAAAATAGCTATGTGAAATATGAAGAACCTGTTGACCAAATATGATTATCTTCAAACAATATATTCATACAATATTAGAATAGTTTACAATAGGATAATAATAATGTAAAGATTGAATTATAAAAAATACACTTAATAAACATCCATTATTGTTATCACTATAATATTATTAGATTCGAATTTCTTCAACACATAATTATGAAGGTGGGACCGATGACTTACTTCAACGGTAGTACAAAAATAAAGATAATAATTATGGAGATTTTTTTATCGATTTTGCTGTGGAGCCAACAGTTGGCTCCGTATTGGAGTCAACCTTCTATATACAACAAATAACCTTACTATATTAATAAAATTATATTAATGTTATTTAATTGAGAAAATATAGTAGATTTATTTGTTGTATATAGAAGTTTGGCTCCACTATGGAGCCAACTGTTGGCTCCATAGCAAAATCGATTTTTTTATAAACACATATAAGATTGAAACATGAATAATTGAACGTTAGAAGTGTATTTGTTATCAAGCAAATCATCCAAAATTGACATAAGGGAAACAATACTTTCAATGGTGTATAGTTATGTAAGGATTGATGCAACTTTAGTTTAATGCCATGTTTTAAATACCGGTTCGTACCGGCCGGTATTACCGGTAATACCGGATACCGGTGGTCCGACCGGTACATTTACACCCAAAATACCGTTTTGGCCAAAATACCGGTTTCGTACCGGAAAATACCGGTTTTACCGGCAAATACCGGCCAAAATACCGGTCAAAATACCGGTTTATGCCATTTTAAAAAAAATATATATATTTTTAATAGATTTTTATTATTTTATTTATATAAATTGAAATTTCTACACTTAACTTTAGTATGTTTATATTGTTAATAGATGTTAATTTATTTTATTATTAATTAAAGGTAGTTTTGTATATTATTTATATAATAATAACAAATTAATTTAATATTTATTAAAACCGGTAAAATAGACGGTAATACCGGTCGTACCGGTAATACCGCATACCGGTCGCTACACCGGTATGACGACCGGTACGGTTTTTAAAACATTGGTTTAATGAATAGTTAAAAAAAAAAAA